GTCCCTGGCCCCATAGCCCTGGCAGCTGGCAGACCCCTCCAGCAGGCCTGGAGCTGTGGGTGGAGGGTGAGGAGCAGGAGCAGGGATAGAAGGATTGTGGGGGGGGGTGGTGAGGGGCACCAGCAGGGCCAAGGGGCTTTGGGAAGGGAGTGAGGGGCACCAGCAGAGCTGGTTTGGGTGTGGGTGGGGAGTCAAGGGCACCACCAGGGCCAGGGGAGCTGTGGGGTGGGGAAGGGCTTTCATTTTAATCACGGATTTTGGGGGTTTTATCTGAATTTGCGACTTTTTATCAGGGAAAACCAGGATCCCTGATAATAATTTATGTATACCATGTGTACTCCTCTTATTGAGTTGTTTACTACATTTAGCTGACAAGGGAAGCTAAGAGGAAGAAACTGCTTCAAGTCAAGTAAATGTGTTAGGTCACACAAACATTCAGGTTCTCATGAGAGAGTCGCTGCTTTCCCAGGAGAAACCACAAGCATACAGAAGTTTAGGATTTTTCTTCCAGAACAAAAATGGCCACTCTAGGAGGAGAAAAATAACCTGGGAACAACCAGTATTAAGGACACTGGGAGAGAGATCATCTATACATTCTGTTAGCCAGCTCCCATCTCATTATGCTCACTTTAGGAAGCTCCCAACTCAGTACTGGTACTTGTGGATCCCATTCTGGCATGTCTAACGCTCCCTACATGTTGTATAAGGAGCCTGGACAGTCACAGGAGTGTCTGAAGAGTTAGGTCTTGTTACCAGATTTGCCCATCACTTTGCAGGTGTGCTCATTTATTAGGGATATGTTTCTAGGGTCTTTGTAATTCTATTAATGTGCTGCTTGTGTTACTTGTGTTTCTACATGGAGCTGTAGCTCTCCCTTCTGCAAGTCCTTACCCCCAGTGGAGCTATCTTGCAGGACTGTTTCAGTGGGGTTGGGTTCCTCCAGCCACGAAATCAGTCAAATACACACACACACACACATTAATGTGACATGCCTGACCCGGCCGGGTTGATCAGCATGTACAGGCTGACACTCTCAAATGCCAGGAATCAGTTCATTAAGGTAACGATAAAATGCAGTCAGACCCAAGCACACAGGTGAACAGAATACCTCTGAATCCAGCTGGGTGTCCAGCTGACACCCTCATGGGCCAGCATTCAGTTCATTAGGGCATGTCTGAGCCAAACTGTGTCAATCAGCCTGTACAAACTGATCCCCTTATGTCTCTCAAACTCAACACATCCCAGTCTTTTGCTCTACCTGTCCTAGTAGCGGTAGTCTCTTGATGAGCAGACCCCACAGTATTTCTGGTCTTCACAGGGATCTTTGGCTTAGGTAAAAGAAGAGTTGCTGCACAGCAAGTGAGGAAGCAAAGTAGAGAAGGAAAAATACACCCAGTTACCACCAGTTTGACTATAAGTGTTATTTATTGCTAAGTATATGACATTTATAATGGTACTAGTAGTAACAGACAAGGAAAAACAAACAAAACAATTACAATATTACCCTGGTTTAATTGAGTATTTGGGGAAACCTAGCTCAAGCTTAACTAATATAATTTAGGTTCAGAAAGCTATGCCTAGAGAGAAAAAGAAAAAGAGAGAGAGAAAGACAAAGAGAGAGAGCGAGAGCTGGGTTCTCAGCATTCCAAGGCACTTGGGTGATTTGTTGACAAGCAAAGTTCTAACACGATCGTGGAAGGGAGACGATCTGTTCTCTCAGCTTCTCGAGAACAACAGTGGATGGTGTCAGAGAGATTTCTCTCTCTTGAAGCACACTGTTTGCTGCTTTACAGCTTTCTTATACCCTTATTCCAGCCTCTTCAAAGCATTGTTTTAATTGTGTAAATCAAGAGGGTCCCAAGCCATAATTGACAGGGAAAATCCTGTTATATAAACAGTTTCAATTTAAATGAATTACCTTTTTCAGTGACAAGGGGTTATCTGGTTTGGAACATCTCAAGAAACTGTTTAATAACCAAGAAAAACATCAAGTTTTAAGGAGTAAACAGACATCTAGGAACCAGCTTGAAATTATTATGAATATAGAAGATATACTGGAAGGGATACCTCATTGTTTCTTCTCAGATGGCGTAGCTATGCTTGGAATGTGAAATCAGCATCAGTGTTTTGTATTTTACCTGTTGTGAATAAGCCTCAGCTTAGCATGACTCAGATTTTACTGTAGTCTTTTAACAGACTTAAGGGGATTACTTGGAGTGTTCATAAACTTTGTGGGAAGGACTTCCACCAGTCTTCCCAGGAAAAGTATGACAGCATTTGTGGTCAGGGCTCTAATGGGCTGGATGCTGTGATGAACCCTTAACCATTGTTCATATGTCACCCATACCCGCTCTAACTCAGTCTCTTGCCTCAGCATTCCCTAACCCAGCAACCGAGTTTTAGTCAATCAAGTTTAATTAGGCCTCCCATACAGGGACAAGGGAATGTACGGCCCAGGATGCCTATTAAAAACTTTTCTTCTGCTTAGTTCTGGGTAGATGAGGGGGGTGTGTGTGTGTGTGTGTGGGGGGG